GCAATTGGAAAAGATGTAACGTTGTTGTGGAGAGATTCAATTCCTGCGCGCGATGACGAATAGAGGGGGTCTGGATTTTCGGTCACATTCTCGTGCTCTGCAGAAATGTTTTCAGCTGAACGGCGTAAACGAACACGCAATGGTGTTTTTACATATGCCACCAACACAGTTTGTTTGAATTTACGAACAATTTTTCCAATTGCACTCTTAAAACTTTAACACGCTGTTTCATTGCTATATCGACGAAGACTGTCGCAAATATGACCCAGTAAATGTCGTAATAATAATAATAATAATAATGAGAAGAAGAAGAAGAAGAAGAAGAAGAAGAAGAAGAAGAAGAAGAAGAAGAAGAAGAAGAAGAAACCCCTACAGAAGGTAGCGACAGAGAGCGAGAAGAAAGGACTAAGCATAAATTACAAGAAGACAGAATGCATGGTCATCAGTAAGAGGAAGAGATCGAAATGCAATTTGAAGGTCGGAAACACTAGAATCAAGCAGACGCGGAAGTTTAAATATCTGGGACGCGTCTTGACAGAGGACGGTAAGTGCGGTACTGAGATCCGTAGACGTATTGGGATGGCCAAGGACGCATTCCAAAAACTGGGCAGATTATTACGAGACAGGAGGATTTCTTTGGTAAGAAAAGAATACTGAGCTGTTACGTGACATCTGTCCTTCTTTACGGCAGCGAATATTGGACGATTTCCTCAAAGATGAAGAAGAGGCTCGAGGCGACAGAGATGTTGCTCTACAGAAGGATGCTAAGGATATCATGAACCGAGCATGTGAGCAACGATGAGGTCTTAGAGAGGATGCAAAGGAGTAGGCTTATACTTAACATCAGGAAGAGGTAGCTGAACATCCTGGGACACATAATGAGGAAGAGAGGCCTGGAAAATCTGATACTCAAGGGTCAAAATGGGGGAAAGATAGAGACAATGGGAAATAATGCATGACATACCTGGCGGTCTTAAGTAAGCGGATGACAGAACGTGGTCTGGGGGAGGTGGCAGAGGGAAGAAACTTGTTGAGAGCTGCAAAGTGGAGGAAAGGACAAAGCACATAGAAAGAAAAAGATATGAGACAAGGGTATAACGACCTCTGTTCCCGTACGCGTCTCCTAGGCCCCGTAGGTCTAGTCTCACTTTCTGGCGATGTGCAGCCGTTTAGTTCGGACCCCGGTTGTTTCGACATCGTAATCTTCAGTATCCGTCTATATATCTGAGACTAATACCCTCATCTTTGTTGCCATATATATTACAAGGTTTCGGCCTTTCAGTATCTGACTATATTTCTGAGATGAGGTATTATGTACACTATTTACATTATTCGGGCTATTGTCCTCATCTTTGTCGCCATATTTACTACGACGTTTCGGCCTTTCAGTATCTGTCTATAATTCTGAGATGAGGTATTATGTACACTATTTACATTATTTGGACTATTGTCCTCATCTTTGTTGCCATATTTATCACAAGGTTTCGGCCTTTCAGTATCTGTCTATATTTCTGAGATGAGGTATTATGTACCCTATTTACATTATTCGGACTATTGTCCTCATCTTTGTTGACATATTTATCACATCGTTTCTGACTTTCAGGATCTGTCTATATTTCTGAGATGAGGTATTATGTACACTATTTACATTATTCGGACTATTGTCCTCATCTTTGTCGCCATAATTATCACAACGTTTCTGACTTCTAGTATCTGTCTATATTCTCCTCATCTGGCGACAAAAATGACGACAATTATCTGAATAATATAAATCGTGATTCTCAATCGTTCACGTCTATGGGATAAGGAGAAATACAGCTTCCAATTTGTCTTTCTTTTTTTTGTCAATAAGCCGTGATAGAATTCTTGTTGACAACTGAGCTGACTGGAAATAAGGTCAAGCTCTCACCGGTAAAATAATAATGCCGGTTTTGGTTAAATATAGTCGATTTAATGAAGGTGAATAAAATGATTTACAATCGGATATATTGGGTATCAATTAAAACAAAAGATCAGAAAGCGGCGACTTGGAATCTCGATCTCTGTGTTCAGCGAAGTTCAATTAGAAATTCAAGTGAATAGTGAGCCCCTTCCTCTTCCGGCTATACAACGACGTGTATATCCGACGACCATCTGGCTTTTATCGTCCGGGTCTGTCTCTGTTATCTCATCAAAATCGAGCTGAATTTATACATAATTCTCCACATATCAAACTGTTTACACGCAAAAAAATAAACCCAAAAAAAACAAAACCTGTTTTCCATTTTTAAGCTGGAGATTCTACACCATTTCATTCAGAGCCACTTCTCCAAAACCATAACATATTCGAAATCAAAAAACACATGACCTGGACTCTCGACAAATATTCTTGCCTGGGGAAATTAATGAAGACTAGATTAGCACACAGCAATCCATTCCAAATCGTCGCCTTGGAATTTAAAAACTACAATATCTGCCAATAATAAGTTACCTTTTTATAAGGATTCGTCTTCTCACCAGATTTATTTCAGCTATACAGCAAGACGTACCTAAAAGAACTAGAGTTCTTAGCAGGATTATTTACTGAAGGGCAACATTATTGCATAAGATACGCCGACGGCACTATTTATTATATATTTGAATGTCTTGCAAAACATGGTAAATAATGATTTCCTTATAGTTGGTTTACATATTTGAATAAGTTAGTAAATGTTTAACTATTTATGTAGAAAATTTTTTCATATTTATGCCTTTATAAGTTAGTAAATAAGAAATATTACGTTATATTAGTCGTAATCGTATTTATTTTTAGAATGTTGCAAATATAAAATTATTGAAAATAAAAAAATTCTAATAAATAAATAGTGTTTAATATATTTGTTGTCAATTCTCAAGAAGAAGAACAATGTATGAATTCACTTCCATCATGTGTTCAGGTTCCATTCCAATACTAATCATCGTTTTTTTTTTTTTTTTAAATAAATAAATATTACTGGGGAGTGAAGGCATTTAAATAATAGCTGTTTCAAGAGAAAAAACGTCCTTTTGACACTAGTCCGAACTAGTGTAAATAATTACAATACCTCATCTCAGAAATATAGACAGATTCTGAAGAAGGTCGGAGCGTATAACAGCCGAAACGTCATGAATATGGCAAGAAAGATAAGGACGGCATTCCGAACGATCTAAATAGCGTAAATAGTTAAAATGCTTCATCTCATAAATACAGACAGATCCTGAAGAAGGCTGGAGCCTAAAACGGCCGAAAAGTCGAGGACGGCATTCGGAACGATCTAAATAGTGTAAATAGTTAAAATGTCTATGTCAAAAATATAGACAGATCCTGAAGAAGGCTGGAGCGTACAATAACCGAAACATCGTGAATGTGGCAAGAAAGATTAGGACGGCATTTGGAACGATCTAAATCGTAAATAGTTACAATGCCTCACCTCAGAAAAAGGGACAGATAATGAAGATCCATGTTTGTCAAAATTGCTTCATTTCTCTAATCTCAGACAATATCAGGGAGACCGAAGACTATATCAACCGAGCAACAAAGATGGCGTCAGAAAAATATGGAATAAAAAAAAATAATTTATCTCTAACCTCCAGAAAATCTCTAAACTCCAGAAAATCTTTTCTTGTTGTTGCTATAATGACATGTCTCTCTGGGGACATGTGTCCTTCATGTCAGTATCATGGGGAACATAGCTTCATATGTAGTTATGGAACATCTACTACGCGGCCTTCATATTTGACACCGTCCACAAGGTCATAGGTTAACCCGGACTTACGCCTATCAATCTTGTGAAAAGGCAGCCGACATTCGAAGACAATGGACAAGTGAAAGACTTCAATCAGTTCCAAAACAAAGCAAAAAAAAAAAGAAAAAAGAACAAAAGAAAAGAAAAACTCTTCCAAGGTTCACTAATTTTGCGATGCAGAAAGAAAGTTATTCTCAGAGTTTCTGGTTTGGAACAACGCGATTTTTGGTTAGGAAGAAGTGATTGTGTCATTTTTGAGACAATTATTAGACAGGATGGCTGAAGATGTGTTGCGGTGTTAAGGTTTCGAAGCTACATGCTGAAGTGATGGAAGGTCGACGGACAGTGAGGATTTCGCAGGCGGGAGATTTTGAAATATGTCAGATGTTATCAGAGGGCGGCAAAGGTGGCTTAGCGTGGGTGGAAAAAAATGGTGAAAATGAAAGAAAAAGATGAAAGATTAAAAGAAGTTGCATCTATCAGTTTCTAAATCTCGGTTCCAATATCTCTCTCTTTCCCTCTTTCTCTGTATCTCTCATACATGTACAATCTATCTATCTATCTATCTATCTATCTATCTATCTATCTATCTATCTAATACCTTTCATTATCTATCTATCTATCTATCTATCTATCATACGTATCAATCTCGCTCATTCCTATCTATCTATCTATCTATCTATCTATCTATCTATCTATCTATCTATCTATCTATCTAATACCTTTCATTATCTATCTATCTATCTATCTATCTATCTATCTATCTATCATACGTATCAATCTCGCTCATTCCCATCTATCTATCTATCTATCTATCTCCATCCATCTATCTATCTATCATACGTATCAATCTCGCTCATTCCTATCCATCTATCCATCCATCTATCTATCCATCCATCCATCTATCTATCTATCTTTCCATCTATCCATCTATCTATCTATCATTATCTATCAATCTATCTATCATCATATCCATCCATCCATCCATCTATCTATCTATCTATCCATCTATCTATCTATCTATCTATCTATCTATCTAATACCTTTCATTATCTATCTATCTATCTATCATACGTATCAATCTCGCTCATTCCTATCTATCTATCTATCTATCTATCTATCTATCTATCTATCTATCTATCTAATTCCTTTCATTATCTATCCATCTATCTATCTATCTATCTATCTATCTATCTATCTATCATACGTATCAATCTCGCTCATTCCATCTATCTATCCATCCATCCATCCATCTAATACCCTTTCATTATCCATCTATCTATCTATCCATCTATCATACGCATCAATCTCGCTCATTCCCATCTATCTATCTATCTATCCATCTATCTAATTCCCATTATCTATCTATCTATCTATCTATCATACGCATCAATCCCGCTCATTCCCATCTATCCATCCATCTATCTATCTATCCATCCATCCATCCATCCATCCATCTAATACCTTTCATTATCTATCCATCTATCCATCTATCTATCCATCCATCTAATACCTTTCATCCATCCATCTATCTATCCATCCATCTATCTATCTATCCATCCATCCATCATAATGTATCAATCCGCTCATTCCCATCCATCCATCTATCCATCTATCCATCCATCCATCCATCTATCTAATTCCTTTCATTATCTATCCATCCATCCATCCATCCATCCATCTATCCATCCATCTATCTCGCTCATTCCCATCCATCTATCTATCCATCCATCCATCCATCTATCTAATACCTTTCATTATCTATCCATCCATCCATCCATCCATCTATCTATCCATCTATCATACGTATCAATCTCGCTCATTCCTATTCTATCTATCTATCTATCTATCTATCTATCTATCTATCTATCTATCTATCTATCTATCTATCTATCTAATTCCTTTCATCATCTATCTATCTATCTATCTATATATCTATCTATCTATCATACGTATCAATCTCGCTCATTCCTATCTATCTATCTATCTATCTATCTATCTATCTATCTATCTATCTATCCATTATCTATCTATCTATCTATCTATCTATCTATCTATCTATCTATCTATCTATCTATCATACGTATCAATCTCGCTCATTCCTATCTATCTATCTATCTATCTATCTATCTATCTATCTAATACCTTTCATTATCTATCTATCTATCTATCTATCTATCTATCTATCTATCTATCTATCTATCTATCTTCATACCTATCAATCTCTCTGTCTATCTAGCTCTCTATCTATTTACCTTTATATCTAATTGTCTTCCTATATGTCAATCTACTTCACCTCTCTATTCATCAATAGAATTCCTTCATTATCTATCTATCTATCTATCTTAGTCTGTTCATATCTATCTATCTATCTATCTATCCATCTATCTATCTATCTATCTATCTATCTATCTATCTATCTAATTCTCTTCATATATGTCAATCTACTCCCCTCCCTCTCTCAATTTATCTATCGAATTTCCCTCATTATCTATCTATCTATCTATCTATCTATCTATCTATCTATCCCATTCTATATATAATACGCATGTCGTAGTCATGGTAAACAGTCGGCAAATAACTCTAAGATAAAAGGCTCATAAGTCGATTGGGCATTTGTCCGGCCTGGGAAACTGCATATTTTATGCGCACATTTCCGGTAAGTCTGAATTTTTTTTTTTTGTTTTTTCGTTTTGATTTTCTTTTCTCAGCCTTTCAACTCTCATCTTGTGGGCGGTAATAATGTCGGGAAGCATGAAAGCGAATATAAATTTGTTGACAACATGGAGCTGGTCACTTTGAATGGATCACGTACCCAAGTACCTCGACTCTTAGATTATACACTGAATGTTTTAACACAATAATTAAGTACAAGTTTTAACCCGTGTTAATTTCATGGTTTTCCTATTTGAATTTTCTGGTTAATCTTAATTCTTCAGTTAATGATTGAATAAGCACATGGCGAGTTCTATGACAATAAAATATCCGTAGAAATTCCCCTATCGCATCGTTAAATATTTGAGCTTAACAACTATAATAAAACTAGAAAGACCCTTGATAATTTCACAGTTTTCCTATTTGAATTTTCTGATGAATCTTAATTCTTCAGTTAATGATTGAATAAGCTGAAGGCGAGTTCTACGACAATAAAATATCCGTAGAAATTCCCCTATCGCATCCTTAAATATTTAAGCTTAACAACTTTAACAAAACTAGAAAGACCCGTAATAATTTCACGGTTTTCCTATTTGAATTTTCTGATGAATCTTAATTCTTCAGTTAATAATTGAATAAGCTCATGGCAAGTTCTACGACAATAAAATATCCGTAGAAATTCCCCTATCGCATCGTTAAACATTTGAGCTTAACAACTTTAACAAAACTAGAAAAACCCGTGATAATTTCACTGTTTTCCTATTTGAATTTTCCAATGAATCTTAATTCTTCAGTTAACAATATTTGAGCTGAACAACTTTAACAAAACATTTCAATAACAATCGTAAATATGAATACAGTTCGTTAATTTAAGAAGTGGGTAGAAATGAATTGTTTTGAAATTGTCATCCTTTTTCCATTTTACTTAAGCAGCCATTAAACACTTCTGTTTTCCCTACTCGCTTTCATTTTCTCACTGAAGCCAAGTACTGCATTTCCCCCTCCTTCCACGCTATCAAAACAGAATAGTCCAGTATTTGTACGCTGTTGGCAGGGCATAACGGTCGTGCGAACTAACAAAGAGAGTGACAAGTACAATTCTAATAGGTTAGAAAAAAAAAACTTTAAATACATTAACCTAATATCTACCGTTAGTCAACAAGATGAAGAAGCTAATGTAAAATCTTTTTCAGTGTATACGGTGGACTTTTTATGCCCAAATTTGCTTCACAATATGAATGAAAGAGATAAAGGCAATTAGAGCAAAAATTTGAAAATTTAACTTAAAAAAATTAAACAAAAATTAAAAAATATAAGCAGAAATTCTAAAATCCTGAAAATAGACCTCAGAAATGAGTTGTGGATTTCGTTAAAAAATGGCTGATAAGTTAATTCTGTTATGATACAAATGGCTGATAAGTTAATTCTGTTAAGATACAAATGGCTGGTTATACATCTCTAAGACCAGATTTCCATTCAAGCCTATAAATAAAGGATTGCTGCCTAAATATATATATATATATATATATATATATATAAGGAAATGGACAAAGTCCGACAATTATTTTAGGACATTTTTATGTTTATAAATTCTTTTTATAATAAACAGTATTAAACAACATTTACCGGCCTGAATAGAAAATATTCGTCCTCCGACAGGAATCGAACCTGTATCCTATACGGAACCGTCATATAGCCTGACGTGCCTTCAACCGATTGAGCCACAGAGGGACGTTCGCTTAGCAAAGTCGATTTTACTGTCTTTAAACCTCAATCTTCCATGATTCTCTCACGTACAATCATATCTGCTCATGGCGTATCCAAATGTAAACAAATGACGTCACACATTATGAAATGGACAAAGTCCGACAATTATTTTAAGACATTTTTGGGAAGATAAACCAAACAAATAACTAAAGTTTATAAAAATAATGGTAGCCCTTATTATAAAAGAAACAACACTTACCAACATCAACTATAAACACGGCCAAAATTTAATAGCCGTATTCGAGAATTAAGAATGTATCTACATTTTTGCAACTTACGCACCATTTACTTTTTCTTAAAGTAATAATTGGTAGATGAAACGCTGTGCTCCTTATGTGGTTTACTAGCTTATTGTGTAAAATTGTTTTAGATTTAATATAGGTCTGTATATCGTGATGTCACTCATGCTAACGCAAACATAGACGCATGTCCGTACATCAGATAAGGTATACAGACACACATACACAATCGCTCGTCCGCCGGGGCTCATACACATATAAACATATGTGGACAGTATGGGATTTGACATATGTATGTATATGTGTGCTGTTGTCTATATACATACGCATTTGTATGTTGAAATTCAAAGATCGGAAGTGTAGGGAAATTAATCAGTTTGTCTGATGATTGCAACTGCGTGAAACCCAGGGTCACAAACTCATATCAATCCAACCAAATATATATATATATATATATATATATATATATATATATATATATATATTTGGTTGATTTAATTGATAACAGGGTCACAAATTCATATCAATCCAACCAAATATATATATATATTTGGTTGGATTGATATGAGTTTAGACTTAATTAATCAGTTAATTTATATATATATATATATATATATATATATTAACTGATTTAAAATATCGTTTCTTCGCTACACAGGAATTACCATGTTTCAAAAGCCGAAGCTAAAAACTTCAAATTTAATTATATAATTAAATTAAAACATTAGTTCTGTTTTATGCTCTGTAAATTTACATTGAGCACTGTTTTGTAAAAATAAAAATATTAATAAGAACACCGGATTATATATCTTACTGTTCTTTCTTTTTTTTATAATATATATATATATATATATATATATATATATATATATATATATATATATATATATATATATATATATATATAGGGTCCGATGGATACATTGTTGTATACATTATGCAAAATGAAAAGAACACTGACATCTCATTCTAACAGATATATTTACTAAAATTACACAAAAATATCTTGAAATACTAAAGAGTAAATTCATTCAATAAAAGGCTTCAGCCAAGTTCTCCAGACGAGTTCGGAATCTCATGCAACTCTTCGGGACAGTCACCTTGTTTAAGTTAATGAATGCTGGCATAATCCATGCCTCTAATTCATCTATGATCTTACAAGAAGATTTGCAGGTCTCTTACTCACCTGCACCTTTCATATATTAATCAAGTGGGGTTGCAATCTGGAGAGTTAGATGGACAGATATAATGGGTGATGTGGTCATAGCAATTATCTGACAGACATGTCTAGATATTTGTGGATGTGGACTTTAATTGTTTTTTTTATTTATATGTAGTTGTTTTTTTTTTTAGTATCTCGGTATTGTTTGTTCGTAGCAGTTCGTAGCTGTCTAATGTTACGATGATCCTTATACTGCTTATTAACTCTGGTCTGATAGGTGGCTGGTGCTTCTACGTGACGGTGTGGCTGTGGTAATCCTATGTAAGATATTTTGTGCTTTTCATTTACAGAGAAACATTCTCTGAGTGGGCAAGTATATTCATACAAGTTGCATCTACCTATCCTGATGTTGACTGAAAAAAGTCGAAAGTTTG